TTTGGCCCGGGCTTTTGCTGCAAAAAAGTTAAAATTTAAAGTTTTGTTAGCTTGTACGTCGTTTGGAAACTTTAAATTAAAGTTAACCTGGTTTTAAATTTTTAAAATTAATGCGCTTTAACGGAACGCTATAAAATACGTAAGCCATTGCTTTTAATTTTTAAGCAACGCTATTACAAAAAGGTCGTTATCCGTATTATGTTACAGTTAGGCCTCTGCTCCTAAGGTAAGGCACCAAAGGAGTATCGAACAGTAGCACGTAACGTAACAAATTGAAGGGATTTACAAAGTAACCTGGGTACGGTTTAAATGCTTGCTCCAAGGGTTACTTGGAAGCTAACTAAAGTTTAACTAATGCCGAAGCCCTAATTAAAAATTACTTAGGACAGTAAAAAACCCTTCCTTTTTATAGCCCGTTCTTTATGCTATTTTTATCCTTCCCAAAGTAATAATTTGTAATTTTGTTAATAGGTTACAAATTACTTAAGTAATTTATAACCTTATTAACAAATTACGGGCGGCTTACTTAAGCTTTTTTGTAGTAAAGGGTAAGCGCTTGCTTACCCTTCGCTTTTTTAGCTTCCCGTTCCGGCCGGGTAATTATTAGTCGTAACATTAAGTTCCTTTTTTACCGGCCAAGCCCTTTTGGCCTATTTATGTCCGTTTTTCCTATTGCCAATCGTAAGTACTATTTTTTTTTACTATTTAACCGTTCCCTTTTTTTAACAATGTTAAATTAAATACAAAAACGCTTTGCGCGTTTAACCTTCCAACGCAAAAACCTTTTTGCTTTGGTTTTTGCATCGGCTATCGATATAAATTTTTGTTTTTTTATCGAAACGTTTTTAAAAAAAATATTTGTTTTGTTTTTCCGCAAAATTCTTTTCGTTGCGTAAAATGTTTTGCTTGCAACCGTTTTAGCTGCAACATTTTAAATTTTTTACTTAAATAATTGCATTCCATCGATTTTTAATACCAAAAAATTAAAGCTAAAATGCGGGCTGTTAAAGCAAAACGTTGTGCTTTAAATAACCGTTTCAAGCGTTTTTGCAAACAAAAAAACCTTTGGTTTAAAAAGCAATTGCAAGCGTTATTTTGGGGTATTAAAACCGTAAAGGAATTGGAGCAAATGGAACGGGCGGAGCAAAAAAAGGCTGCCCTAGTAGCGGCCAATCCTTTTCCTTTTTTTTACCCCGACTTCCTTCCTTTATTTCTTAGTTAGGCAGCGTTAAGGGTTAATCCTAACCTCGACCCGCTAGCCCTTTTTTAGCTTGGTAAGTTGTAACTCCTTTAACAATTCCTTTTGGTTGTATGGCGCAATGGCAGCGCGCTCGTTTTTGTAACGGGAAAACCTGGGTTTAATTCCCGGTGCGACTTGGTTAAATCGACATAATCCTTTTTTTTTTTGCTAACCCCGAAGGCCCAAGGTTTGGTATCGATTTTAAATTGCTTGCGCTTTTTTAATCCGGTAAGTTGTAATTTTTTTAACAATTTCCGCAGGTTGTATAACGTAATGGTAGCGCATTTGTTTTTGTAACGGGAAATCCTGGGTTCGATTTCCGGTGCAACTTTAAATTTTTTTCGCTCGACCTTTAATTGGTAAAAAAGGTTTTGCTTTTTTTTTTTGCTTAAACTTGCTAGCTTATCTTTTGGATATGCTGTAAGGTCCTCCTTTTTTTGCTTACTAAATTCCTTCAAATTTGGGGCGTTTTGCAAGCTTTAAAGCTATTGCTAACTTTTTTTAAACGATACTTTTGCAAAGCTTTTTAGCAATTCCCAAAATTTGTTGTATTTTTCTACGTATTATACTTATCCTTTTATCCTTTTTACTTAACGAAATATTGTTTTTTGCGGTAACGCGTTCGTTCGTTAAGGATGGCTTTAATTTTTTACTTTTAATTAAGGTCGATTTTTACTAATTCGGTGCTTTTAAAGCCCGGAAACGCTGGTTTTAGCAAAAAAACGTAAAAAATTAAATGGATTTGCATGGTTGGTAATAGCTAAAATTTATAATTAACCGGAAAAATAATACGGGTAACCCGAAAAGGTTCTTATTTTTTCCTGTTTAATTTATTGCTTGGCCTTTTTGTTTTAATGTTAGCGCGTAAAAGGTAAGCGTTATTCTTTTCCTTAAAAGTCGGTTTTTTAATCCTTTTTTTATTGGTTTGCTTTGCTATTTGGTAGCGCAAATTTTCCAATTTGTTTTAAAGGTTTTAATGCAATTTAGTAAATTCCGTTACTTAAATTTCCGTTGCTAAAGCTTTAAATTCGGCTTTAAGCTTATTATACGCCGTAAAAATGTACCCGTAATTAGCGTAAAACGGCGTTTCCTTTGTGCTTTTATACATAAAATTATTATAAGCAAATTGGGCAATTGGTAATAATTAAACCCAATTATTTTGTTTGTAAATAATATAATAACGCAAATATTATTTTATTGTTTTATTGGTTCGTTCCGTTTGTTCGTTCGTTTGGAAGTAGTACGCTATTAATAAAGCGTATTTTATTTCGAAAAGCGCCGTAAGCGTTTTCCAAAACTTGCTTGTAAATAGCTTGTTTTGGTTTGTAATTAATTTTTGCGGCATTCCGTAATTCGATACCACGTTCCGAAAAAAAGTATACGTTAATGTAAGCGCATTGCTACTTTTTTTATAAAGTAAATACAAGGCATACTTTGTAAGCCTATCCATTATTACCAATATTGTTGGTAGGAGTTTGGTACTCCTGTTTTAAGGCTCGGAGATTTCCTGGTAAAGGTAAACAACGATCTCAATGATCTGGGGAAAATCCTATTATTGTGCACACCGAGGAAGGAATCTATCTGCCAAAAGAAGGGCACAGGATTGCCCCTTATATGCGCAGGGACGATTACCCAAAAGGGTGGTTCCCTGCTCTGCCTAAGGCAGATAGAGTTGGCCCGTGCGGGATCCGGAGGATCCCAAAGCCTTTTGTAACAACCTCCCTTTCCGGATCGCACGCGCACCGCAATGCTGTTCCAACAAATATGCTATTATATTGTATTTCCGTTAAAAGCTTTTTAAATTTAAAAAGTTTAACGATAAAATTTATGGTAATTTTTTGCTACGCCCTTTTTAACGCTAATAATGGTTAAAGTAACCCGTAAAGGAAATGCTTGTTAAGCTTATCCTTAGCATACATTTGGCAATCCTTTATTATTTTTAGCATTGTTGCCCAAATTTCGGTAAACCCGTAATGTTGCTAGAGCTTTTTCCATATTTTGGTGGCTTTTAAATAATTATGGGTTAGTAACCCGTGGATTTCCAAAATCCTTTTTAAGGTTTAATTTTGCTTTTTGGTTATTAAAATTACTATTTATTAAATTGGAACCAACGCTTTTTTTGGCTTATAAGCTAAAAGCGTTTTGGTTTTTTTTGGAATAACAACTTTATGGTCGCTTCGTTTGCTTAAAGCGTTTGCCTTTCCGTTTTCCGATCCTTTTCGGTACAAAATTTAAAAATCGTAATTTTGGAAATACTGGCTTTAACGGATTTAACGCTTATTAAAGTTTTGGTTCGTAATAAAATGTGCTAAATTTTTATGGTTGGTATATACCGTAATTTGGTAATTTATTCCATACAAATATACCTTCCATTTTTCCAAAGCTTTAATAATAACGAAAAGCTTTTTATTATAAATTTGGTAATTTAATTTAGGTTTTTTAAGTTTTTGTAAAAAAAAAGCGCAAAAATGCAGCTTTTTTTTTTATTTCGTTAACCCAATTATTTCCCGATCGCGTAATTTAACGCGTTGGTTTCGATTTTAAATAATTTATTAAGGTTCGGGATAACCAATATTGGTTTCCGTAAAATAGCGCTTTTAAATTGTTCGAAAACAGCTTATTTTCGAACCTTTTAATGGAATTGGGTATTATTTTTAGTAAAGTTTGTAAATAGCGTAGCGTTGCCATTAAACCTTTGCATAAACCGTCGATAAAAATTTAAAAAACCTAAAAACGCCCGTACTTTTTGTACGTTAGTAAGCGCTAACCAATCGGCCATTTCTTATATTTTGGCTGGGTCCATTTTAACTTTTTTTAGCGTAATAACGAACCCGAAAAAAACCATTTCCTAAGTGTGCCATACGCATTTATCCGGGTTAATTAAAAGCTTTGCGCTTTGCAGCTTTTGCAATATTTGGTACATATGTTGCTTATGCTTTTCCAACGTTTTTAAATATATTAAAATGTCGTTTAAATACGTTAAAACGAAAATATCGAAATGTTTTTAAAATATATGGTTAATTATTTGCTAGAACGTAGCTAGCGCGTTAATAAATCCGAAAATTATAATTAACGATTTGTACACGCCAAACCGTATTCGAAAGGTTGTTATCCATTTTTGTCCTTTTTTAATCCAAAGCAATTTATATGCTTTTTGGAAATCCAAAACCGTAAAATATTTGGTTTTACCGAATTTGTTGCGTAATTTATCGATAAAAAGCAAAAAATATCGATCCTTTATTGTAATTTCGTTTAATGGTTGGTAATCGATGCATATTCGTTCCTTTCCGTTTTTTTTGGGTACAAATAAAATTCCGTATCCTATTGGAAATGTTAAAGGTTTAATTACCCCTTTTTTTAAATCCTTTTATAATTGCTTTTTTAACCCTTTTTGTTGCTTAAAATTAAATTAATATAGCTTTTGGTATTTAAATTACGCACCGGGCTTAAATTTAATTTCGTGGTTAAACGGCCCGTATTTTAGAAATACCGTTTTTAGGTTTTTTTGGAACAACCTTTAATACTTATAATATTTCGGAAATACGTTAGTTAATTATTATAGCTTTTGTTTAAATTTATCGTAAAATGTTGTTATGGTTTTTTGTAATAAGGTTTAAAGGTTGCTACTTTGCTTTATTTCCGTTAAAATACCCTTTTTCGGCTTTATTTTTACATTGTTTGCGGCCCGTAATTGTTAAGCTTTTTTAATTGCTAGTAAAAGCTTTTATTAAAAATTGTTTTTTTTTAATTAATTTTTAAGTTATGCTTTTGTAGTTACGGAATTTCGAAAACCATATTTTCGTTCCGTATTTTTAACGCGTCCAGCGTTATTTAAAAGGTTTTGCTTTGGTATCGAAAGCTAAAATAATTGGTTTTAATATTAATTTATTCGTTGTTATATTCGATTAGCTTTTTTTTATTGTTGTAAAAGCGTATGGCTTGTTTTTTTTTGCGTATAAGAGTACCGTATCGTAACATTGTTTATAGCAATACGTAATTGCTTTGGGCACCGCAATTAATTAAGGTTTTTAAGCGATAAAGGCTTTATTGCACCCATATATGGAAATGTTGCTCGTTCGGGCTAATCGTTGCTGCTAAAGTTTTTATTGCAAATAATTATCCTTTTTATAGCTTTAATACAAATAAATTTTTTAGTTTTTTATTTTAAAATGTTCCGTTTAAAGCTTAAATAAGTTTATTTTTTATTTTTTGCGTACTTTTACGTATTTTAAATCGTTAAGGTTGTTGGAAAATTCGTACAAGCTTTTTACGTTTTCGTTGTACCGTATTGGTATGTATAAAAGTTTATATCCTATTTATTATGCTTTAGCTTTTTGCATGGTATGGATTTAGCATTCCAATTTTTTGCATTTTTGCCATTTTAAAATTTTAGCAACGCAAAGCATGGGCCATTAAAGGTTGGATTAAAATATTGCTAATTTTCCGTACCTTTTAGTAATAAATTATTTAAATAATTACTATGCCAATTTAAATTTAATAATTAATTTATTGGTTTATCGATAAGGAAAAAAATCGTTTCGAAACTTTTAAACCAAATATATTGCGCAATTCGTAACGAAACATTTCCCTTAAAACAATTACAAATGCTTTTAATAATTGGGCATAAAGTTATTATGGTTTTTTCTTTTGGTATTGCTTTGCAGCTTTTTAGCTTATTTTTAGCTATACGCTTGCAACCGGATGTACTTTCGGTACGTAATTGGGTGGTTGTTACCAAACTAGCTAATAAAGCGTTTAAAATCGTTTTTAGCTGGTATAGCTTCGTAAAAAGTACCGTCCTTTTTTAGCAAATTAACGTTTTAAAAGCGCCGTTGGATTTTGGCTTTGTTCCAAGCTTTTTCGCCATTTTGAAATTGTTTAATTACGGCTTTCGGGTATACCGGGTGCAACCTTTTTTTTTGCTTTTGCATAATAAGCCCGCTTTAACGGAACGTTTTGTAATTGGCTTAATCCAGCATTGCTACGCATGCATACGCTAAACCGTTGGTTTTAACCATAACAAATTGGTTGTAATTTAATTCGTTCCTTTTTGGCTAACGTTTAATTTACGTCTAAAAATTTTGCAAATTAATGCTTTAATTGCGTTTCGATTTGTATTTTCGTTAGTACCGTTTTTGGTACGTTGCCCGTATGTATTTTTGCAAAGCGCGGGCGTTTTTAGCGTACCGGCGGAAGCTATTTAAGCTTTTTTTATTGCTTTTTTTTTAAACTTGCTGCTTTCGAACGTTATTTATCCGTAAAAATTCCTGCTTGTTACTTAAGCTTTTATTGGCTTAAAAATAGCAAAGTCCGGGTTTTAAAGGATTTTTACAATATTTTTTATAATTGGTTTATTTTTTTTTCGTTGCTTTTTAGCTTAAAGTTAAGGATCGAACTGGGTTTGGCCCAAAACTTTAAGCTAAGCCTTTGTTAAATTATTTCGTTTTTAAAATTTTATCCTTTAACAAAAGCATTTAATACTTTTTTTTGTTCGGCAACGCGCAAAAACTGCTTTTAAGGTATTTCGTTTTGTAATTCGGGATTTTCCCGAAAATTTTTATTAATCCAAGCCTGGTTGCTTTCGGCGTTGGAATTGGCTAAATTGTTGCTACAAATTATTATAAGGTTTTTTCGTTTGGTTATAACCAATTGCTTGCGGGGAAATTACTTTATTATATTTTTATCGAAATGGTAAGCAACGCAATGGTTATTGGTGCATGCAATTTAAAAAAACGCAAAGCCGGAATAACCATTATACTTCGGTTTTATCGTTACTTTTTTAATTATTACTGTTATTTTGGATTTGTTACTTTAAAATACTTTTTTTTATTCCTTTTTTTAAAAGCAATTTTTTTTAATATGCCCAAATTATTTACATTAAAAGCATTTGCCATTTTTAAAGTTTTAAAACTTGCGTTTTTTTATTTTTAATGCGTAGCGCCGGCGTTAAAATCCATAAAGCCAAAGTAACAATTATAAGCTATAAATTTATTGCGGTCGAACTATCGTTGCGGTTGGTTGCTTTATACCATAAGCTTAATTTTTTAGCCTTTTTTTTCCAAGCGGCGTTTGTACAATTTATCGTTGGTTTTAATTACGATAACAACGTATTTGGCAAAAAATTTGGGTTGGTTAATTTTTAAAACCTTATTTTTTACGTTATTTCGAAACCCATTATATAAATAAACCATTTTGGTTTGGTTGGTTTAATTAAATTTGTTAGCAAAGCGTTAAAAGTTGGAAACGTATTTTAACGTTGCGCTTTTTTGTCGAAATTAAAATATTTTTCTTTCGGCAATTTGCTGCTCGTTAATTTAGCTAAATACGTTGGTAATTTTTTTTTCGAACCGGGCAAAACTAGTAAAAATAACCTTGGTTTTTTTTGTTTTCGTTGTAGCTTTTAAAAAAGTTTGTTTATACGGGTTCGAACCACTTTTTTACTTTGCTTTTAAAGCAAATAGTTATATAAACAACCTTTTATTTTTTAATCGTAAATTAAATTTGGTAAAAAGCGAAATACTTTTAACATTTGGTTAAAAAGGCTTTAAAAGTACCTTTTTTGCCGTTGTACCGGTTGGGGGTAAAAAATTTGTAAATTTAAACCGCCGTTTGCGGAACGCTAGCTTATTGCTTAAATTGGGTAAGGTTTGCGGTTATAGCCATAAACGCAGCTTTAACCTTTGTTACCTTTATTATGTTGTAAATTTTGCTTGCGTAATTAAAATGCTCGTCGTTCCTTTTTGTAAAGGATTTGCCGCTTTTGGTTGCCATTGTTATTGCTTGGTACCGGTCCGGATACTAAATAAAATTAATTAAAATGTTACAATTAAGCCTTTGCTTTTAAAATAAAGCACTAAAACAATATCGAACAATAGCACGTAACGTAACAAATTAAAAGGATTTACAAAGTAATTTGGGTGCGGTTTAAATGCTTGCTTTAAAGGTTACTTGGAAGCTAACTAAAGTTTAACTAATGCTAAAGCCCCAATTAAAAACTACTTAGGACAGTAAAAAACCCTTCCTTCTTATAGCCCGTCCTTTATGCTATTTCCATCCTTCCTAAGGTGGTAACCTGTAATTTTATCGATAGGTTACAAATTACCTAAGTAATTTGTAACCCCATTAACAAATTACGGGCGGCTTACCTAAGCTTCTTTGTGGTAAGGGGTAAGCGCTTGCTTACCCCTCGCCTTTTTGGCCTCCCGTTCCGGCCGGGTGGTTGTTGGTCGTAACATATTATTTATAATTAGTAATAACGGGAAGCTTGTAAAAGTAAAACGGTAAGGAATAAAGGGTTAAAAGCTTTAAAAGCGTAAAAACGTAAAAGTTAAAAAAGTAAAATTTAATAAAGGTTTTTAGCAACGTTCGAAATTAACAACGGAATTTGCTTCGGCAAAAAAATTTTTGTCGAAAAAGGGTTTGAAAGCGTAAAAAATTTTTCGTAAAAAAATCGCGGAAAGGAAAAAGAAAATAAACGCGCTTGGAAAAGCGCGTTTGGGAACAATTTAATAAAAATAATGAAAAAGGAATAAATCCGTGCTGTTAAGCCTTTTACTTTACGTAAAAGGGCTTAAAAATTGCCGGGCTTATAATTATTGCAAGTAAAAAGGATAAGCACGGTGTAAAGCTATTCCGGTTAATTTGTTTTAAAGAAAAAAGGATTTTAAATGCAGGGCCCCGTAAAGGCCTTTGCTTTTTATATACACGTAACTCCTTGTTTTCCTTGCTTACTAAGCTTCCTTTTTAACGCTTGGAAGCGTTATACGCTTCCAAGCAAGGGGACCGCTTTTCCGATGCTTTAAGCATTTAATATTTATGCTTAAAGCTTTTTCACGACAATATATACTGTTTACTTTGTAACAGCCTTTTATATTTTAGCAAAGCTTTTATTTCGAAGCGATTTTTTCGATTTTGGTTTTATTTTGGTTTTCG